GCCCAGGCGGGTCTCAAATCCGCGGGCTCAGGCAATCCACTCACCTCAGACTCCCAAAGGTACAGGATTACAGGCTGAGCCACCGAGCCCGGCTCAAGTATTAATTTTTAAATGAAGCAAAAGGCTGGGTACTGTGGCTCATGCCTGTAATCCCAGCACTTTGGGAGGTCGAGGTGGGAGAATCGCCTGAGGCCAGCCTGGGCACCATAGCGAGATCTCATCTCTTCAATAAAAAATTAGCCAGGTGAGGTGACACATACCTATAGTCCCAGCTACTTGGAAGGCTGAGGCAGAAGGATCGCCTGAGCTCAGAAGTCAAGGCTGTTGTGAGCTATGATCATGCCACTGCACTCTAGCCTGGGTAACAGAGTGAGATCCTGACTCAAGAAAACATAAATAAATAAGTGAAATGATATACTTTGATATTAAATATGAAGCCTCTAAGTGTTGGGCATTTCCAGTAAAGAGGTTTTTAATCCCTGCAGATGTGAAAAACAAGCTCACCCCCTCCAGCTTGTTTGACACCAGTGCTGCACTGCATAAAACTCACAATGGCTGGAGGAGTCAGGACACTGATCTCTTCCTCTGCCCTCTGCAATACTTTGCCAGAAGCCTCGGATGACTCAGCATCCCTTGACCACTATGTTAGAAACCAGACTGCTGGCAGGGGCACAAAAGTCAGAGGGACTCTCCCTCCCTCAAGGTCTCGGATGTCCCAGGACTAGCCAGTGCCCTTTAGAATCTTTGCAAAATTCAAGACCAAGAAGTCAAAAAGACTTTGCAGGATTTTTAAATAAATAAAACCAGAAACATTGTCCTGGGCTTATGTGACAGGTTTTGTTGTTTTTTTGTTTTGTTTTATTTTGTTTTAATAACAGTGATTTTTAAAAATTTTATGCATTGAATCCCTAGGGCTCATGATTGTTAACAGCCTCAAGGGACTCCACCAAAGTATACGTAACTCCATAAGCACTTGTCATGGAACAAGTTTAGAAAACTGATTATTCTGGCCTTAGCCTTCAAAGCTAAGGTTTCCAAACGAGGTTCCAGGTGGTCAAGCTTGGCTCTGATGTAGCAGTTCCAATGACATGAGAAAAACACAGCGGTGGGGAAAGGAGAGATCACCAGCTGAGGGCACCACCAGGATTGGCCTGCTGTCTGAAGTGAAGATCTACAGCTGTTCAGAGTGTGAAAGGCTCAAGGGCTCATCTGCCCAGAGTTTACTTGGCTAGAGAATTTCTGAATTTCCTTCTAGAAAACTGGGTCTGGCTGCCCAGCTCCTTCACTTCTGAGGAGCTGACTATACTTGGCCCAGTTCTGATTATCAAGGTGCACCTGTCTTGATCAGTTCAGTGCAGTGCCCCATCACCCACCTGATACCCCCACCCCCCCAGTGGTCTGGACCTGCTTAAATTCTGGAATAAACTAGGGCACAGAGTCAGTCTGCTTCACCTAAGCAGGAAGCAGTTGCATGATTCCTTTTCCACAGCCTTGGCAACTTGCCATGGGTAGTTCATTGAGATCATCCCCAACTACTGGGACACCTGAGCTAGCAGTGAGTTTCCCAACATCCCGCTCAAAGGGATTTCTTATTTTAGAGACAGGATCTTGCTCTGTTGCCCAGGCTGGAGTGAGAGGCATGATCATGGCTCATTGTAACCTCAAATTCCTGGGCTTAAGAACTCCTTCTATCTCAGCCTCCTGAGTAGTTGGGACTACAGGCATATGCCACCCAAGCCCAGCTAATTTTTAAAAATTTATTTGTAGAGATGGAGATCCTGGTGTGCTGCCTATGCTTGTCTTGAACTCCTAGCCTCAAGCAATTCTCCTGCCTCGGCCTCCTAAGGTGCTGGGATTATAGACATGAGCCACCATGCCTGCCTGGAATTTTTGACAAATACTACCAGTCATTAATGAAGGTCTTATATAGGTCACTGCTGGTCAGAGAAGATGGACTTGCTGGGAACATCAGGAGACTTGAAGCCCAGATCATACTTCTTAGACCCGAAGAATTCTGAAGGGGCTAGGTCTGTGCCAGTTGCAACCTTAGCAGTGTTACTGGCTTCCTCACAACTTCACTTGTAGCAGCTCTAGCACTTCTTTATTCTCTAGGATGTCAGAAGCAAAGCCTTTTCCATGCCCGTTATGGGCAGCAGTTTTCCAGGGTTTCTCATTAGTAACATTCTTCAGGGTGCGCTAAACCTCAGCTTCAATGCACAAGAGGCTTCCCTGAAGTTGCTGCGCCAACAGCGAGGATCATGGACAACTGTCACCTGGTTGTCAGCGTGAGAACCACCACTGATTGCATTAAAGCTGCAACTTGCAGATGAATGACGGGACAGGGGGGCCCTCTTCTCAGATCTCCAGTTTTACACATAGCCAAGGACATCCTATATGCCCATGGGCCATCCATCTCTATTATCAGTGTCAAAATTCCATTTCCTATCATGGTAGGCCCAATGGTTTTGCTGATGCACTTATTGACTTTGGGTCATTTTTACCTATATAGAAAGCTTTGTTATGGTCCCAGAGCACTAGGGCCTCAGAGCCACTAGCTGAGGCCCTGTTAGGCATGGCAGGTTAGAAGAACCTTTGGAGAACCTTTGGAGAGTAGGCAGCTACATCAACTGGGTGATTTCCCCCAAGAGATGAAGATCTCCTCTGGCGTGGAGTCTGAAGATAGCCAGGACTAATTTCTAGTCATAGGTTATTGCCTGAGAAAGGGACAAAGAGTGCTGCAGACCCCAACAGGAAGTGTAAATCCACAGGTCCAAGACTTTACCTCTATCCCCCTGGGCTCCTTTCTATTAATATATACTTTAATTTCAAACAAGGACAGATGCATATTTAAAGAAAGGAAACCAAAACCACAGAGACCAGGAGCACATCTTGTGGTGGTTATGACCTTCTCAGTACACAGACACTATAAATCAAGAAAGAATGTCTCACTATCTACATTTCTTTTTTTTTTTTTGAGTTGGAGTCTCACTCGGTCGCCCAGACTGGAGTGCAGTGGCCGCTCCCGGCCACCGCAGCCTCGCCTGCTGGGCTCCGGCGATCCTTCCGCCTCAGCCTTCCGAGTAGCCGGAATTACAGGCATGCGCTCCCACGCCCGGCTGATTTTTTTATTTATTGTAGAGATGAGGTGTCGCTACCCAGGCGGGTCATGAACCCGCGGGCTCAGGCAATCCACTCACCTCAGCCTCCCAAAGGCGCGGGATTACAGGCTGAGCCACTGAGCCCAGCTACTATCTACATTTCTAAACTACGAATTCAATAAATAGATGCCTCAAATTATAAAGCCTCAGCTGGACATGATGGCTCACGCCTGTAATCTCAGTACACTGGTCTTGAACTCCAAGGTTCAAGCAATCCTCCTGCCTGGGTCTCTCATGTTTTAAATTTAGATAGTTTTTAGTTTGTTACAACACTGGTGTTTGTGACTTGTCAGTTACTCTGTTCCACTCCCTCCATTGCCTGTTACCTGGAGGATGCTCTGAGGCTTGCTCTTTGTTGTGACACCTACCTCCTTTTACCTTTTGCTAATCAAGATCTCTTTCCCTACAGTCAAGGCTGGGGCTCAGCAGGCACTCGGCTGTTTAGCATGATAGCCATTGCTAAGGTTCCTCTATCTGTGCCACACCAGTCATTACGTTATTTGAATGCCCCCCCACCCCTCCACACACACTGTAGCTGAAGGTCAAAACTCTAAAAAGATGTGGGTGGTTGTTTTGGAGAGCAGGACAAATTTTTGTTTCTGAAACAGGGTGGAAGAGTTGAGAAACTGTACGCCCTTGAGGAAGAGGAACCCAGGCAGGAAAAGGGGCCGACAGGCCCAATCCCTGGGATAAAGAGGGAAGAAAACAAACTGGTCGACAGGCAGAGAGCTCAGGGGGAGAAGTGGACAGAGACAGGAGCTGGCTGCTCGCTGAGGCTGGCCTTCCTTGCTGGGATACGGCAGGGGCAGAGCCAGGTCCCTGATCAGCCAAGGCTTTAGCCCAGCTCGGCAGAACCCTCATGGGTCTGAGGGGAAGGTAACTGATGACAAATCAAAATCTGTGTTGTGTGCCAGCAACACGCTGCTATGTATCCTCTCTGCCTGGGAGATGGAGAAATCCCTCTGCCAGTTTTCAATTGGCTCATTTAATTCCCTGAATAAATACTTACAAAGTGTCTACAACAGGCTGAGATTACTAATTTATTTTTTTGTTTTTTGTTTTTTTGAGTTGGAATCTCACTCTGTCGCCCAGACTGGAGTGTAGTGGCCGCTCCCGGTCACCACAGCCTCGACCTGCTGAGCTCGGTCGATCCTTCCACTTCAGCCTTCCAAGTAGCTGGAACTACAGGCGTGCGCTACCATGCCCGGCTAATTTTTTTATTTATTGTAGAGATGAGGTCTCACCAAGTTGCCCAGGCAGGTCTCGAACCCGCGGGCTCAGGCAATTCACTCACCTCAGCCCCCCAAAGGCACGGGATTACAGGCTGAGCCACCAAGCCCGGCTGATTATTAATTTAGATTACTTGCTTTAGTCTGACCACAAAGAGATGTTCTTTTAAAGAATTTATAGCTTAACGTGAGCTGGAATGAATGTTGAACATTGACTATTGTTATTTCTTTCCCAGCTCAAAGGAGAATATGAATAAGGTCTACCTTCCCTGCTATCATAACTTTCCCAGAAGGCCAGCAAGCCCTTGCTTCCCAGTCTCTCATGTCTCCCTCCCCGCACTGCTCCTTCCCTTCATTCCTTCTTCCTTCTCTGCATCCACCTCCACAGGCCTCAGCCCTCACCCCAGCCCTGGCTTCACCCATGTTCTCCCACCCTGAGCCCATTTCCACTCACCCAAACACTGTGTGCTCAGTGCTCTCTTCCCCGTGGGATTTTAGCTCCATAGGAGTGGCCTTGCCTCGCCTGGTCCTTGTCCTCCTGAAGGTCACAGCAGCCTGGTACTACTCACAGCTACGCCACCCCACAGAGGCCCAAATCCATGCCCCAAATGCCATCTCTCTGCCTACCCCTGTCTCCTCTCCTACTTCCCCCAACCCTGCTTTCTGTACCCACAGGGAGCACCGATCCCTCAGCCCTGCCCACTCTTCCCACACCACTATCCCCTGCAAGTCACAGAGGCACAGGCTGCTAGCCCACTGAATCCATTCTCCTTTTCTCCCTGGACACATAGCTAGAGCCAGTCTCCCAGTTCTCTATGCATCTGGGTATTGCAATGTGACTTTCAGACAGCAGAACAAGTGGAAAGAACGTGGGCTACCCCTACACCTTGCCTAGACAGCATGCACACACTCTCTTCCATGCACTCCTCATTACAGTTGGCAGGACTGTGAAATAATCTTAGGTGAGAGAAAATTTCTATTAAAAAAAAAAAAAGATGGACCAGGTGCAGTGGTTCATGCCTGTAATCCTAGCACTTTGGGAGGCTGAGGCAGGAGAACTGTTTGAGCCCAGGAGTCTGAGACCAGCCTGGGCAACACAGCAAAACCTCATCTCTACAAAAAAATTTTTAAAAATTAGTCAGGCATGGTGGAGCACACCTGTAGTCCCAGCTACTCAGGATTCTGAAGTGGAAAGATCACCTGAGCCAGGGAGGTCAAGACTGTGATAGCCATGATCATGCCACTTCACATCAGCCTGGGTAACAAAGTAAGACCCCGACTATAAATAAATAAAATAAAATGGACAAAATAGAGAATAACTGCTGGTGTTTGCTGTGTTTTAAGCTGTGTTGCGCCCACAGCATCATAAGTACTCAAGCTGGACGAAAGGCAAGCAGCCAAGGCTGGCTAGAACAAGGCTGGGGAGTGTGTGGACAGGTGAGAGCAGGCAGCAGCCCACACATCCTGGTTTCAGAGTAGGGGGCGGTCTGGCATCTCTGGACCTGAAGGCAGAGGGTAAGCCCAATGCCCCCAGGCAAGCCACAGTTAGAAAACAAAGGTAAGAGAGCTAGGGTTAACAGGGGCACGCAGCACATAGACAAAGAGAATCAGCATAAGCACCGTGCGGAGGCAGGAAGGACATGGCTGACCCACACATGATACCTGTGGGAGAATGCAGCACCAGGAGGGACGGAATTAGGTTACAAGCGGTGTTCAATACACAGGTAAAGAGTCCCCCACACCCACCTCAAGTAAAATAAGGAAGTTCTTATGGGATCTAGAGCAGGGAAATACCCAGGGGATGTATTCTGGGATTAATCTACAGTGGTATGCAGAGACAAGGCAGGCGGGTGGATCAGAATCCACAAGGACACACTGATGGGGACCTGGCCCACCCTGCTGTCTGTTGGGTACCAGCCTTCAGTGTGCTCTTGGCAGATACCTTACTTCTTTGATGATGTCTCTGGATGTGTGATTAAGAAAGCAGCCAGTTATACTTATTGTCTTGTTAAGCAACTGGGGTTGATCAAACCAGTCAGAAAGTTTCCGAATGCAGCTTCAGGAAACACAGTCATGCCCTCAGGAAAGTTCACCCTCAAAGAAGATGGGACACTGCATTCCAGGGCAGGGATCATGGGAATGTCTTCAGGCAAGAATGAAGCTCTCCATAAGCACAGAGGGAGACCAATGAGTTAGACAGGGATACTAAATGTGACTGGGACAATAGGACATTCCTGGGCATAACTTCATTTACTATCAACATCGTGAAGTCAGACTTGTAGAAGTACCAGCACAAGAAGGAAGAAACTTAAAGTAGACAATGGACCCTGGCTTCCAGATCCCACTCCCCACCTTTCACTAGAAAATGTCCATGAATGACAGCAGTAGTTTGCAGGATAACTCACTCAGTCATTTGGGAGGCTTGTTTAGTTAGCTGTCCCATTCATCCACAAGCCCTCTCCTGTATTGATCTCTTTTTCTTTTCTTTTTTTTTTTTTGAGCTGGAGTCTCACTCTGTCACAGCCACCGCAGCCTCGACCTGCTGGGCTCAGGCAATCCTTTCGCCTCAACCTTCCAAGTAGCTGGAACTACAGGCGCGTGCTACTACGCCCAGCTAATTTTTTTATTGTAGAGATGAGGTCTCGTCAAGTTGCCCCGACTGGTCTCGAACCCACGGGCTCAGGCAATCCACTCACCTCGGCCTCCCAAAGTGCTGGGATTACAGGCTGAGCCACCGAGCCCAGCCTGATCTCATTTTCTACTCCCAATCACACTGGAAGGTAGGAAGTGTCATCTTCACTTTGCATATCAAGAAATTAAAAGTAAATCACAGCAAAGGTGAGATTTAAGCTTTGATTTTCCAACTGTGTCTTTTTAACAGGCCTCTCTTATCAAATATGAATTCCTGCCAGATTCTTGGCTAATGGATGTCCAAGGTGAATAAAAGTTTAGTATCTCATGAAGATAATGATTTAGTTGGTAGCAGGTATGAAAACAAAAAGAGGCTAGAAGTGCTATAGGGATACCAAAGACAGGGAGATAAAGACGTAGTCATGGCCTACACATAGTAGACACACAAAAACAAGCCATCTGGTGAAATTCTTCAACCAATATTTATTGAGCAACTACTATATGCTAGGCACCATTCTGGGTGCCAGGGATACAGCAATGAAGGAAACAGATAAACTCCTGCCCCTAACGTTCCAGCAGAAGAAGCTTACTTTCTCATATCAAATGCATGGACAGATAAAAGGACAGATGGATGGATGGAAGATGGATGGATGGATGGATGATAGATGGCTGAAAGATGGACCTAACCTTAACCCTAACCCAAACTTACATCCTTTCCTATAGGGCTTAAAGAAATGGCAGTCATTATTATTTGAAACAGGGCTCACTCTGTCACCAAGGCTGGAGTGCAGTGGCAAAATCATAGCTCACTGTAGCCTCAAATTCCTGGGCTCCAGTGATCCTCCAAGTTAAATTTTTTTTTTTATAGAGACAGAGTGTCACTATGCTGCCCAGGTTGGTCTCGAACTCTTGGCCTCAAGCAATCCTTCTGCCTCAAGCACTTATTATTTTTAAATAAAATAATTGCATAAAGGCCAACTCCTAATATTTCATAAGCAAACTAAGATGGCTGGCATTCACTAACATGTCACTCACCCAGACATGTTTGGGATTGTTATGCAACAAGCTCAGATCTTTGGGTGTTCTTATACCAAAGATTAGAAAATTACAGAAGAGTCCTAATCGGTGTCCATAACAATGAAGGAGAAACTTGTTTCCCTAAAATAGAATTGACATCCAGCACTATCAAGAGACCCAACTTACCATTTCATAAGCTTGGATTTGTCATCGCCCTGAGTGTAAGGAAAAGAGGCAGTGTGCAGAATCTGCATACACTTTTTATGTGTTATAAATGTATGTGCTGTGGTGTCAACCTCTCCCCACCCCCACCCTTGTAACCCTCTTTCCCTTCTTCCTCCCCTCCCCCATCCACATACCTCTTTGGAGCACCAGGCACATTTTGGGTGGATTAGTAGACATTCTTCACATGAGGTGGCACTTCCACTAGTGCATATGTTGAGACCTTTAGAGCAAGACAAAGGTGTACCAATTACTTACTGGCTATAACCCTACTGATGAGGTCTTTTGATGGGTGGGACTGTGGGAGGGGAATACTTCCTTCTTTAACAGGAGACCTCTCTGAGTCTGAAGGACGCAGGGCTCTGTTCAAATTGCAGGTTAAGGTTCATTTGCTGAGGCTAAACATTAAGTTTTGAGGCATCCAAAAACATGCGCACTTGTGTTAGCAACTCTTATTTCTCCTGGGCCCACTTGAACTCCCATTTCTTACCCCCATAACTCAGCAAATCCTTCCTCACTGAGGGAAAACAAGGCCCCTTTACACTTAGTCTATCAAATTGACGAAAGTAGTACAGAAAAGAAAAGAAGAAAGAGCACATTGGCTTCATGCAGACATCAAAAAAAAAAAAAAAGGCAGAAAATTCTAAATCAGATACCATGATATCAAAAAAGGGCAGAAAATTCTAAATCAGATACCATGCTATCAAGATCTTTCAGTGTACTAAAAGAACCAGCATACTCCTTAAAGAAAAATGTGGCCGGGCTCGGTGGCTCAGCCTGTAATCCCACGCCTTTGGGAGGCTGAGGTGAGTGAATTGCCTGAGCCTGCGGGTTCGAGACCTGCCTGG